TTTAACCTTACAGCTTATGATGCGCTAAAAAAAAACTACGACAAGTTGTCCAATTACTCGAATTCAATTAAAGCTAGATACCACAACCTATGTGAGTTATTTTCAAGTTCCCCACAATTAATTAATTCTATAAGCAGGTACTATATTACACATGGTTATACGGCTGCAGCAAGTAATTTAAATGGCAGAATTAACTCCCTAAAACCGTTACACAGGCCAAATAAGGTGGGAATTAATGACGCACAAAACCAAAACTACACCAGCCTAAATACAACAGACACATGACTCAGGGAATAAAGAGGCAGGCTAGCGCTTGAATGTACCTGTTCTTGCCTACACATCCAGGGTTCCAAATCGAATCAAGGGACAGCCCTATACGTTCTCCCAACGATTCCCGTCTTGGTGGCAGTCAAAGGAAATACTTATATTAGAACCGAATGAAACTTTGAGAGACAAAGAGGTACAAAGCATCCTACCTCCTAGACTGAGATAACATCGCACAAGGAAATAGAACAGTGACGTCGATTTTGGTCCCAATTTGAGTGTGATGGAGGCCACACCAAATCGATCCAGGTCCATGTGTGCCCAAGGAGGAACTCGGTTAGAACCTAAAAAGGAAGAAGAGGCAGTACAACGATAATCTCTCCTCCTCCTTGCCGATGGACGCACGGCTGGAAGGGGAAGGAGATAACAATGGAGTTCAGGTGGTGACTTCTCCTCCTAGGACAGCCACGGTCTCGGTGGGCTGGAGGATGGAATGAGACGGACATGCAGGCTGAGTTTTTGTTTTCTATTCACGCTGGTCTGGGCGGAGATGATGAAGGAAACAAATATAATATGGTGTCTTGGTGCTCTTTAGTGGCCCAAGGCTTTGGGAGTAAATGAACACTACCTTGGTTCAGGATGGAAAGGTTAGTGGTGGACCTTGTGGCTGATTTTCCAACACATAGAGATGGGAAGATGGGTGACACTATGGCCTCACCGTCTGCCTCACGGTTTTGCCAAAAATGAGACAAACATCATACTTGTTATTTACTTAAATGTGCGCATGAGTAGAGGACAATACAATCTGAAGGATGTGATACCATCAACCAATAGAAGGACATGCAATTGAAATGGACCAATAGAGTTCATGCATTCAGATTTCCTAAGGCTAAATTGATGGATAAATTATAAGTTTTGGGCTAGTTAGGGTCCATCATGATTTCTTGGGCAGGTCTAATAGAGGGCCTTTGGGTTCAATTACTTTAATTCCCTAAAGTGCAGCAAACAAATCATTTTCTCGAAATTAAATTAATTTCCATTCCAACTTCATATAAAACTTGCCCTCAAGACAAGATCTTTCATTCCAAGAAACAATTTATATACTTTTAAGGCGTACCCATAAAATTCTAATTAGTGTTATGCTTCCTATATATTATAATTAGGTTAATTCTATCCTCTTAATTAATATTTCAATTTCTTAACACTTATTCCCCTAAATTATAATGAACCTAATTTTTATCCATTAAAACTAAGTCCACCCTAAATAAATATACACCTATGTATTTCGAGTTCAACACAGGCTTCTAAGTTCCTAAGCAACATTTATATAATTTCCTAAATTTGTGGGATATTACAAGCTCGTTGTACACCGGTATTGTTAACATTAATTATGATATTAAGCGTAGTTACAATCACAGCAGTTCATTTATAAAAATGCGAGTAAACTTTTTCCGTTGATTACGCGAGCATTTAAAACCATAAAAAGCGTAATAAATAAAAGCTGAGACCATAACTGAAAACTCTTGCAGAATACTAGATTAAACTATTTTTATATCTTATTTTCCTTGCTATAAGACACTAAGGGGTTCCCATAAACCCACTTAGCCAATTTCTCAATCTTACGTTTTCTACCTATCCGAACATGGTTCGGTAATTATTTTACTGCAGACACACCGCACCAAACCAGACCTTCATCTTTAGTTATCTTTTTCTCTTACTTAAATACCTTTCCAATTAGCCATCACACGAGTCATTTTGATCTGGTTTGCTCTGGATATCGCTATTTAAAGTTGGCCAAGCAAAACTGCCAACCAACCCCAAAACAGCTCAAAACGTCTCTCACTCCACGAATTACTGCAGAAAATCAACTCATCCAATTACTCCCAAATTTTACACCATAAACTAGACACCTCAACCTTCAATTTGATATATCATACGCTTAATTTGACTGTGAAACGAAGCGGTAATAAAATTCCCAAAAACTGCCAGAAACAGCCCCTGCATAGGTGCGTTCTGGACAGTCCATGTTCACAAGCTTCTACAGGGCTGCGTGAAACCTATAATATTTTAAGATGTTACAACCATGTAGAAGACATCTTAAGCTTCAAAACGGCGTATGGCACATCCCTATCGGACCTCTGTGGAGGGAGATATGCTCTCTTGAAGTTCGTCTAAAATCTGCTAATTCTACAAAAAATTCGCCAGAGTTTCCTTTGTTTTTCCTAAATTCCCCAAATTTGCATAAGCTCTCTAGTACCTCAAGTGTACCTAATAATCCAATGGGTGGCACACACAAGGACCAACAATGCCTTGGGGCACTTACAACCCAACTCAGTTTATATTTATTACACAATATAGCTCACTTTATAATCCTTAACTTGTTTCAATCACCAAAATCCATTTTCATGCAAATTCTCAACATACAAGTAATCATAAACCTAAAATAGGCCTAAGGCCCTTCCATCATAGTACATCATGCATCCATTGTACAATTACAACATTTAACTTACATGTTACAACTTACAACTTCAAACTTTAAATTACAACTTACAAATTCACAACTTTAATTTACAACTTGAAACATAAAACTTCAAATGACATATACACTAGACTTAGGAAAAATGACATGAACAAATATGACTATGAAACTCATCCTACATACATATGGGATGTTCATGCCCTAAGTCTAGCCTAGGCCAAGTGGCCACCAAAATGTAAAATAATAAACGTGCTCCAACTAGTCATCCTACGGGCTTCTTGCCCGCCGCTCCACTGCCACTGCTACCTCCTAAAATAAAGCCCCCGAGACGGGGTGAGATATACGAATATATCTCAGTAACCCAGAGGTTCTGGAGAAAACTCTATCCTATGGCTCACTTCGATCCATATAAGTAATATAAAACAACCACTTTCAAAACGGGATATAGCAAGGGATTTAGAGAAACTGGGGAATATCGGGATATAAAATACGACGAAGCTGGAATGGTAGCTACCAATACCACACAACGTCCTCGGCATATAAGCCTACAGGTCTCATCTAAGGTGTGTTCCAAGAACCACAACCAAGGTACCCCTCCCATCCGCATACACCCGAGACTTCCTAGTGTGCTCCTATCCGGATCACTCACCACGACCCTAGGTCAACTGGAACTCCCTCTCGGAGACCTATCCAGTGGAAGTCCGCACTGCCCGAAGGCTACATTGTCTACTGGCTAGAGACTCGGTACATAAGTACCCTCATAAAAACTACATGCATGCTCATGTTATTCTACACTACTCATATACATTTCCTACCATCACCCTCAACAAGTATGGTGGAACACACAAGGAGAACAAACCCCAGTACCAAGAGGTTACCTCAATATGTTCCTCCACTTAGCTCCACAGCAGCGTATTTTCCAAAATCGTTATTCAACATAATGCCTCAATCCACTTGGTCCAGGACCAAGGGCAATCCACTGACTCACGGTTCGGGGTTCAAATCGACGTTCGGCAACAACCAAGGCTTGATACTCCTCCAAGACTTATCCAAGCAATGGAAGACCAAATGACTCCATGAACATCACTTTTCTTCAAAATTTCAAATCTGATTTTGGCCAAGATCTCCCCAAGGAAACGGTTTCAAGGCCAAAGAGTGCTACCAATGGCTTTAGGAGGTGTTTTCCATCAAGATTCAAGACAAAAATCGATGGATTTGGTGGAGAAATGACCAAGTTTTGATGAAATGAAATTTTGCACAAAGATGGGGGGAAGGGGGCTGTTGGCTCGGGTTTGAGGGAGAAGGAATGGAGGGATGATGATGAATAGTGAAGGGGTGAGGTGGCCTTAAGTGAAGTTTAAGTGGGTGGGTCCCATGCCACGTCATGCGATTTAAAATCCATCCGAACTTTCACTAAACGTCAAAAAATTCACAACCTATTTAGGAACTTTAATTTTTAACATTAACCATTGTCTTTTAATTATACTTGATCAGATGAATCCAGAGTTTTTCGGTCGTTTGGAGAAAACACTGTTTTAAGTTGTTGTGCGCGCCGTTGGCACGCTTCCCCAAACTAACTTAATTCCATCAAATTGTATCAGAAATCATATTTCCTAGTTCTATAAACCATTTATAACTCATATTTGAAACCTAGAGCTCAAAACTCAATCGGCACGTTTTACGGTGCAATGTTTTTACCCGGTAAAAACACTATTCACTGATTTTTCTAAAACTTGTCTATCCACTCAATTTTTCGTTCTGAATCCATTTCTAGGGTTCTTTTTATCATCTGGGACCTTATACTCAATTTTTATCTTCCTAGGGTTGCGTGTTGGCTAATTACCGTATTGCCATTTCTTTGTATTTTAGCCAATCTTTAGGATTTTCACTAATCCATCACTTAATTACTCATTTAATATTTCAATATATAATTTAGAATTGCTAGGTGTTATAACAATCGTGTAACATCTCGTCTAATTAGGAACCTATTTAAATTGCAATTAGGAATGAGGTAGAGTACTTGTCTGCAGATTAAATAAATGTTTGCTTTAGAATGGAGTTAAATTAAATTAGGGAATTGTTGGTATGATCATGGAAGGTGAGCACCTATTTTAGGCATGTGAAGTTCTGGTTATGAGTATAGGAATAATATAATTATAACATATAACTATTTCCCCAAGAATAGAATTAAATTCAATTTGATGAAGCATTGAAATAACAATTATAATGAATATTTATTTTTAACATTTGATCGCGCGTCAAGAATCAATGACTATCCCCACATACTAACACGAGACTTTTCAGTGTGCTTTTTCGTCACTCGCACACTTCCCAGGAAAACTTCCCAGGAGGCCACCCATTCCAGAATTGCTCCAAGTCAAGCACGCTTAACTGTGGAGTTCTTCCGATCCGGGCTACCGAAAAGCAGATGCATCTTGTTAGCATAGGTAGTACCAATTAATTCTTATAAGTTATCCCAAACTGTGCAGCCTTATACCTGCACAGCCTTTGGAATCCCTCTCTTTCGGGTGTCGATTCGATTCATTCATGCATGTAACCCCACTGGAAGTCTGTCAGGAGCCGCTCCTTGTCCGTGCCTCTTTGCACCGGCGATCACTCCCCACCCTCGTCAGCGCTCGGGATGTTACATGCTCACCAACTTCCGCCTGGTTCGTCCTCGAACCACACCGTACTAGAAGAGAGGCCCTGCTCTGATACCAATTAGTGTAACACCCTCCCTTGTATGCATCCAAGAGAGTTGTTTGCTAAGCGGAATTAGAGTTCGTTCGTCACAATTTTATGTATTGAAAAATCATTTTGACGTTCCTAATTAAAACACATAGTTGAAATCAGATTACTGACAAAAATCAGAGTATACTTTCAAAATTCTTAACTTGCTGAAATTATTATTTTCCCGACAGACGTTGCTGTCTTGAAAAATTCGTATAAAATCTAGTTTTCAAAATTCCATTGTAACATTTACATAATCTGAAAATAGACACGTGGGGCTTCGCGTGCATATAAAATATAAGTGAATCGGAAGTCTGTAGCCCCACTAAATATAACTCGTAAAGTGCTCGTTAAATCTGTTTAGAAAATCAGCATTCAAAAACCTCAGAAATTATTTTCGCAAAACGTTTCAGGAATTTGTTTTCAAAATACTTGCTGATCACAAAAGACTTAAAAATAGTAATAAAATCATAATTCAACGGTAATCCAAACTACTCAATTTAATACAGTCATCCATCAAATAAACAGCAACAACAATAGTCCATACAGCAGCACATAACAGTAAATATCCATATTATCATGTCTTCCAATGATCTTCTGTCCTCCTGCCATTTTGTAAAAATAGCAGCCCCAAAGGGGTGAGAAAAATCCCAGTAGTGCGGCAACAAAACCAGTAATGCAACAGTACTAACTAGGCACAAAATCATAAAACAGTCGCATCAACATTAACTTCATTTCTTGATAAACATCATCATATATCATAGTGCGTATAAAACGCCATCTTTACGCATATAGCACCGTCGTGCGCGTACAAACACAGTGGAAATTCAATGCACGACACCCTCATTTGGTGAATTCCACCGTGACCTATGCAGACGGATGCCAAGTGTCCCATACCCTGATACCGAGGAATGCCTATATGATGCGTGCTCATACACATGGTCCTGTATATAACTATTCTAAATTTCAAGGCTAACATGAATCCTGTGCATACATGTCATGCTATGCTATCACACACAAAACAGAAAAGCAGATGCGGTATGATATAAAGTGCATGCTTATATCATCATTATCATAACATATACTTCATGTACTTTTGATACCATATTGCCACGCCATCATTTCTTTTCATAACAGAGTTACCATCATAACATTTCCATAGGCAGAATACTTTCATCATAAATAGCAGGATAATCATTAGGCACATGTGAGCAACAATTCAAAACTTCATACACTAGTTAATAGTCACATTAGGTAATACCACCTAACACATACCTTATGTCCATGCAATAATCAACAGCACCAAAATTCAGCCCACTCAATAAGAGTTACGTGCACCTAAATACATGCGGTTCAAGTAAGAATTTTGTTTATACATTCCTATTATTCATAAATGGTTCCTATGCTTTCAATCCTTGTACCTTAATTAAATTATGAGGTCACTATGCTAATTATTTTTCTGCCCTTAAAGCTATTCCTCCCATTGCTAGCAAATGAAATTTCCTAAGGTTTCATACATGCATGAGTTCGGTTTTTAGCATAACCAAATGTTCAGGATTTTATTTATGTACTCCTTCCACTAATTTCTAATCAAATCAGAATTTCCAGCATTCACCACACCCATACACATATTCGATTTTAACATGCTTTCTAACTTAGCTTCAAATTCTGACTTGGTTTAGTTTTACCAATCGTTAACAAAATTTACCACTTCTTAAGCATACAATTTCAGCTTTGGCTAATAATTAAGAATTCATAATTTAGATATTCATCTAACCTTTATACCAGTCCTAAGGTGTACTAGGGAAACCCAAAAACATGTTGTGATCGTTCATCAAGACATATGCTAGGCCAAATAAATTTTCTGACTTCACTCTACTTAATCAATTTATCAACAACAATAAAATCTTTGGTTTCATTAGCATACATAATCAGTTTTGAGAGCCACTCCCTAAGGACCCACAATTTTCATTTGAATAAATTATTTGCTTAGTGTATGCAGAATTCAATATACATGTAATGTGCTGTCTACTCAGCTTAGTCATGTGTAGGTTCATTACTTTCCTTTCTAACATAGCGCACAACCTAACCACTTAGAGGCTACCATTCCAAGTTCACCATGTTAACTTCCAAAAATTGTAAGTGTCAATTTACTAATTGTTGCACGGCTTATCTACAAGAAGAGGAGAAATGACAACAATAGCTTCCTACACCTATATGCAGCCGAGACGATAGAGGGAAAGAAAACTCAGAATTGATTTATTGTCATTACCTCCTTGCCTAACCCTCACGGATCCTCAATTGCGCAAGGGACAGCCTACCACTCCCCTTCCTAACTTCCAAAGGCCGAAACCAGTTGCATGCAGAGGAAAATGGACTCCATTCACGGTTGGGACATGAGCATGCAACAAGGGAAAGAAGTTTAATCAGACCGGTACGGTGGGAAGGGACAAGAAAACAGTACATTTACTTCACCTCCTTAGAGCCCCCTTTGGTCGAACAAGAGAAAGAGTGTGGCTGGAAGGCTAGTGTGCAGTCCCCTTAGCTGCTGCATTCAGCCGACCAGTGAGTGAAGGGGATGAAAGCTTGCATGTCGGTCCTTCTCATGAGAGCATCACGGTTCTTGTGAGGGATTCATAGGCTCAGTTTTTTCGTTCTAAATATACAGAAGAAACTCAGACTTGTTGTTCATAACAGTGGGCATGGATAGAGGGGAATTGATGCAGGCCTTCGGTTGGAGGTGTGGCGTACAAGGGGAAAGAAGAGTTCAAGCTGGTCATAGTTTTGACTCAGCTGCGCAACAAGATCGAATTGCTTTCTCATGAGTGGCTTGCGGTTTAGGGAAGAGGATGGGAGAAATGTTTGCAAGTCTAAATGCTCTTATTTCTTGTCATGGAGTTTGCGATTTAGTGAAGTAGGGCTGCCATTGATTCTTTTCTGTTTGAAGGTTTAAGAACCTAAGAAGAAGGGTCAGTCTTTGGGACATGGAGGTACGAATACTTGGTCCACAAAATGCTTGACCGAAGCTTGTAGGTAGAATTCTAAGTGTCCAATGGTTGTGTACGCGTGGCTGGCGGACATGCAAAGGGAGGAGATAAGATAGGTACAGGTTGCCATGTGTAATGTTTAACCAATAGGGCCACATTGAAATTTCCATGTGGATAAACTAATAGATAAGGGTAGTAAGGAATCTTTGAGCTGAATTCAAGCCTTCCCCTAAAGCATTTTGGGCCGTAGCCCATCACATGAAATGGGGCCAAACATATAAATCCAAAGGCTCTCTTATCTTAATAATTAACTCATGTATATTATTTTATGTTTCCCACTAATTGTTAACTAAGGGTTTATTCTTTGTAATAAATTTACTCATATACCTTTCATGAGTGCTCATATAATTCTAAGTAGTATTATGCTTTCCATATGTTATCTTAATTTGTTCCTATATTTTTAACAAGGGTGTCAAATGCTAAAAATAAATATTCATTATAATTGTTATTCCAATGCTTCATCAAATTGAATTTAATTCCATTCTTGGGGAAATGTTATATGTTATAATTAAATTATTCCTATACTCATAACCAGAACTTCACATGCCTAAAATAGGTGCTCACCTTCCATGATCATACCAACAATTCCCTAATTTAATTTAACTCCATTCTAAAGCAAACATTTATTTAATCCGCAGACAAGTACTCTACCCCATTCCTAATTGCAATTTAAATAGGTTCATAATTAGACGGGATGTTACAAATCGTCAATCCTCTACAATGGATTCCATGAGAGGCAACCCATAATGATCATGAAACAATGATCAATGCCAATCTCGATTACGTATGCAAGCTACAAGACAACAACAATACAACCACTCTCCCATTCCAACTCAATTTTCTCAAAATACAACCATATGGTCGATGGGAACATTGTCAAAAAACCAAGGGAGTTCTCATTCAATCACTTGTTTCAATCTCCAATTTACATTCTTGTTTAATACCTCCAACGATCAACATATAATTTATCCAACAACCATCAATTCATTTCCAACAACCACATTTATGATCTCAATCCACAATTTTCATCATAAATTTCATTAAGTTACTCAATAAAATCACAATAAATTTTATTGGTTCAATCATTCTAATTTATCATTCTAAGCATTAAATCTCAAAGGAGATATACCATTAAAGCTCTCCAACAAAATATCAACTCACAAACACTATTCATAAATGCATAGATTTTTTATCTCTAGAAAAATCCAAAGAAAGTGTAGAAACTTACCACAAATCAACTCCTTAGGTCCAAGCAAGTCTTCTCCAAGCCCCCAAGCACTTGAAACAACCCACAATGTTCACACTCTCTCAAACTTTTGTGGGTTTGGAGGCCAAAGATCTCCTCACACAAGGCTTCCCACAAGGTGCACTCAACATGAAACACACTTGCAAGATGATGGGGAACAACTTTGTAGATCAAGGTTTTCTCTCAAAATGGCTCTAACTCAAAGTGACTTTTGGATAAGCTATTTTTACCCTACAAAGGAGGAGAGGTCGACGGACAAGGAAGAATAGAGGAGAGAATGAGCCAAAATTTGATTTCCTAAAGTCTTAAGGTCACTTAAGTGATGTGTGGGCCCCAATTGTCACTTTACTCACTTAAATCTATTCATTTAATCCACCAATCTTCACTACATTCATAATTCATCAATTTTATCCAAACTCAACATATTTTTACTTCCTAGAAGATAATTTCACTTTTCATGTTTACGGGTAAATCTACACTGCAGTATTTAATCCAGTAAAATTACTATTCATCAAAATTTTCAAAATGTACTTATCAACTTCAAATTTCGTACTGAATCCATTTCCATTATTGTTTTTACCAAATTAGGCTCAAATTTAGTTCACTGTCTAGGGTTAAGCATTTGGGTAATTTATCATTTTGCCCCTGATGGATTTTTTGACCCAAAACTCAGAATTTTCTCTAAAAAAGCCCTCTAACCCTCAATTAGGCATTTAATATTATTTCAAGTATGCAAGATGTTATATAATACATCTCCATTTTGATGGTTGAAAGTTATTATTTGATGGTGTTTATGGTTGATTAGGGTTTGTATATATCATGATCATAGGATGTTATTTCATGTGATTTTAAGTGATTTTGAGGTTGGTTGTTGAATCTAAGCTAAACTGTACTTGGAAATGCTTAAAATGAAAAAAGGGTTTGATGTATACGTAGAAGATATATTCGGCCAAGTGAGGCTTAATTATGCCAACCATGTGTTTGATAAAATGCCTAAGTGAAAATTGGTTTTTAAGGTGTTTTAATGGTGGTTGATTCAATGGAAAATTGATAAGAAATTAAAAGGAAAAGTCATGGACTTTTATGAAGGCCATTCAACCATGTCCTTTATAAATGTTAGGGATTAATATTTGATCATGAAAATATGATAAAAGGGTGATTAGTGTGTAGCTAATCAATGATTAATGTGGGTTATGATTAGAGAAAAATGATTAATACATAACTTTAAAAGTGAGTACCATTCGACCATGGATATATTTAATGGTAAGGATTGATCTTTTGATCATAAAAGGTATTTTAAAGAATGGTCTAGTGTGGATTAACATGATTTAATAGGTTGTAAAGTTGATAAATCATGTATAACAACCCTAAATATTGTATCATGATTAATGAAGAATTATGATAATTAATAAACGAGACATTTCAAATGAAATAGTTTATGATTAAGTAAATTAGAAGTATGGGTCCAATGGACCAAAGACATAAGCATTAGGGATCCAATGAATTCATTGATCAAAGTATAACCCAACAAAGGAAGTTTTAATTTCATTTAATGTGGACAAGTCCAAGTGATACAAAGAAAGATCTATATGATAAAGTAAAGTCCAATAAGGTAAATGAAACCCAAATCAAGTTAAAGCCCAAAGTAAGGCCATGACATAATAAACCTAAAGAAGTACTATATGACTAGGAATTAAATTAGAATTCTTTCCCTACAAGCAAGAAGCCCACGGTTTTACTAGAGAAAACAAGCTCTAAGAAGTCAATTTAAAGTGTCATAAAATCATGGAAAAATAGGCACAAATTAGGTCAGGTTAATAGGTTAAAGGTCCATAATCTTAAGGAATAAATCATGGTCCAAAATTAAAGGAAATCTTTTCCTTCCAAGCATTTAAAATCCGCGGCCTAGGTGTAGGAAATGAATTTGATTTTATTTGATTTTCAAGCCATTAAATGCAAATCGAATTTCCTTAAGTCAAGCCAGTCAAATTCCTTTAAACAAGGAAGTTAGGATTATGATGATTAGTAGTCAATCACTTTCCCTAAATCAAGCAAATTGATGACAATATGTCAATCAATCAAATAATTCTGTTTCTTAAATCAAGGAAGCAACCTTTATGACGATTAGTCACACCTCATCAATCCCTTAAATCAAGGGAGCAACTTTTAATGACGATTAGTCACACATCATCAATTCCTTAAATCAAGCAATCACTAAATTTCCTTAATCAAGGAAATTGACATCATGTTCTTGTCCCTAAATTAAGCAATCTAACCTATGACAACAAATCACCACCTTACTCTCATTTAATGTGATCAAAACCTACCAGCAATCAAGTAATGGCAAGGCTTCTAGGTTGCCTATTTGAACAAGCTTTAGTCTCTCCTTTTTCCCTCTATAGCCGCGGCACTACCAAAGGAAAGAACAAAGAGTTTAGTTCATTTTGTGAAGTCCATGAATGCTTCGAAATGGTGAGTGTGTTAGTGAGAAATACCTAATTGTTCCAAGATCAAATACAAGCCTGGATCTTAGTCCTTCTTCCTAAAAATTCCACCAAAGAACCCTTCATCTCTAAGCAAGAAAATCCCTCTTCTCCTCTCTTTAAGCTTGCGGCCTTGCATGTTCAAGGAGGAAGGAAGTTCATTCAAGAAGATTCAAAGTAGTCAAAGGTCAAGAAGTGTTTCCTTAAGTCGTTGATCATCATCAAAGGTAAGCCTATGAACCTTCTTGGTTAGGAATGACATGTAAAAGCATGAAAGTGATATCCTAAGTATATGATCCCTAGAAGGCCGAACCATGTATGATAATTATAAGCATGAAGAGATGTTTAAATGATATGAAAGATGATGAAATGATGATGTTAGATTAGCATGTTTAGTAGCCTAGGTTCTAAATCAATTTTGCATGATCATAACCTTAGTTGGCCGAATATATAAGATGATGTTTTGAATGATGCTCTAGGATTTAAATATGATAAATTATCAATAATGTTAGAAGCATGTTTTAGAAGTAATCCCTTAGGTATTTTAGGGCAATAAGGCCGAATGGTATGTAGCTAAAAGAGGTTTTATTTGATTAATGTTGAAAGGATCTAACCATGTTAAGTTAATAATATAATTGAAAGCATGTTTTAAAAATTATATTCCTAGATGTTTATCTATGGTGGCCGAACCTATACATGCCTAGAATGAAATCTTTAATAATTCTATTAAGTGTTATGATGACTTAATAATGTCCTAAAACCTACACAAGTGGGTAAGTAAGCAAAACAACTCCTCTAGGTAATTAAACCTGCAAAGCCGAGACCTATACATGGATAAAACACAAATGTTGAATGTTATATAAGTTACTAAAAGATGATATGATGATGTTAGGGAGTCAAGGGAGCAAACAGGCAAGTAAAGAGATCAAAAGTTGAAAGTATACAAGTAAAGAACGACAAACACTGTAAGTGTTTACAGTTGTTGAAGTAATCTCTCTATGTATGCCACCATTATGAAACTATGATAAGTTATGGTCTGACTGCAATATGTTTATAGTGCTTTACATTATGTGATTATGATATTTTTGAAACTTAAAACCATGCTATTAAATGTTGGCCTGTGCACTGATACTCCAGTTGCAACCTGACGAGGACTCTGGGTATCTCCGTAAGTCCGTAAAAGCCAGCAGGAATATGATGATGATGATGATGGCATGATATTTTTATATGATG